TTTATGTTTTATACCATATTCTTACTGTATATTTTCCATGTTTAGATACACAAATACCATTGTGTTACAATTGCCTACAGTGCTCAGTACATTAATATGCTGTACAGGTTTGTGCCTAGGAGAAAAAGCTGTAACATCTAGCCTAGGTGTGTAGTAGACTATACTAGCTAGCTTTGTGTAAGTACAGCCTATAATGTTCACATCATAATGAAATTGCCTAAAAATATATTTCTCAGAATTGACTGTAATTTACTTTTGGGTATTTATTTTTTAAACATTTTATTCCTGCTTCTGGTCTTTTCACTTTCTTAAAGGTATTCTTTTGATGAACAGAAGTTTTTAAGTTTAATGTAGTCAGTTTTCTCAGTGGCTCATTTAAAAACATTTCTAAAAACTGAGGTCATAAAGGTATTCTTCTACACCATCTTCCAAATTTTATATTTTTACTTTTCACATTTGAGTAGTCAGTCCACTTGAAATGGAATTTTGGATACGGATTATATGCGGGGGCTTAACTTCACTATATTCTCTTTATTGAAGAGCCAAACATTTCTCCACTCTTCTAGGCTGTTATCTATGTCATAAAATCAGGTTTTCGTATATCTAAAGGGCTATTTCTGGGTTCCTTGACCAACTTGCTCATTCTTTTGCCTTAAACTCTAAATTTACTAAAGTTTAATAATAATTATTTCCATTTTAAAGCATGTGAAATGTCAAGGTTATTTCTGGTGTACTGTCCTTTCATGTGTATTTTAGCAATAGCTTACCAAATTCCATTTTAAAATATTTTGAAATTATTTTTACTAGAATTGCACTGAATCAACTTGGGGTTAATGGACGCAAGTTACTGAATCTTCCAATCCATGAACAAGGTTTCTTTGTCCTGTTTTATACACTTTCTTTAATATATCTCAATAAAATTTTATTTTTCTCTATGAAGGTCTTCCCTATCATTTATGTCTTGAAATCTTGTAAATGGTAACTTATAAATTATGTTTTCTCCTGGTTTGCAGACATATTGAAATAGACGTTTTATTTACATTAATTATGTATCCAGCAAAGTTGCTATAATTTTATATTATTTCTAATAACTTATCTATAGGTACTCTTTGAGATTTCTAAATAGACAATCTCACTGTATGTGAATAACAGTTTCACTTCTTCCTTTACAATTTATTTCTTTAATTTCTTTAACTTGCCTACCAGTACAATGTAAAATATAAAAAGTGACTGATTTTCAAATGTTAAACCATACTTGCATTCCTGGCTAAACCCAACCTCGTTATGATATATTATCTCTTTTATATGTTGCTTTATATGATTTGCCAATATTTTGTTTAGGAATTTTTTTGCATTGTTTTCATGAATGGGATGGACTTACACGTATTTTCTTTCTCATCATTGTTAGGTTTTGGTACTAAGGTTCTGTCTTATTACTTCATACATCTCACACTCTCAAAGTTTTACTGCATTTCTGGTATCAAGGCTGTACTACTTTAGTTTTTATGTCTTCTGGAATAAGTTACATACAACTACATATATTTGTTCTAGTTTGGTACAACTGATAATAAAATAATTTTGACCTTATCTTTTTTTCCTTTCTTCTTTCTCTTTCTTTTCTTTTTCTCCCTCCCTTCTATTTTCTGTTCTTTGTTACTCATGGTCCTTTATTTCCCTGTGAACTTTGTACTCTGAAACTGTAAACTCATATTTCTTGAAACTTTAACTTTTTTCTTTGAGTAAAGATGAATGCGCAAGGAAAGATATGCTTTTTTTTTCTTCTGAAAAGTAACATAAATTAAGGCTACTTGTGATCATAATTTCTTAGAAAAAAAATTTTTTTGCCCTTCCACTCAGCACCCACGATTTGACACGGGCAATTTTCCACGCAGACCCTGGGTTGGTAGATTTATTTTCACCTTACAGAAAAGTGTAGTCCATGGAGTTCCAGCTTTATGGTGAAGTTTCCTAATTAGGCATCCCACATCAGGTAGACCCTGGGTTTTGTCTACTATAACTCAAAGCAATACAAATTACAGTATCATCATAACATTTAAGTATTAATGATAATTATGACATTATGATGAGTGAAAGAAGCACTACAAGAAAAGTATGTTGCACTTTTATTCTAATGACATTCTAGAATTGGAGAAATTAACTTACAGTTTCAAAAAGCTGACTGAATAGCTGTTTCAGGCTGAGAGTGACTACAAAGTTCCATAAGGTAAATATTTGAGGTAATAAAAATGTCTTATATCTTGATTATGGTGGTGATTACTCATCAAATTGTTAACTTAAATACACTTAAAATTGGCGTATTTTATTGTATGTAAATTATTACTCACTGAAGTTGATATTTAAATAGGGCTATGTGATGATAACATACCAAATTATACATTTAAGATATGTGCATTTCACTCTATGTCAAATTTATCTCAATAAATCCATTAAAAAATCCCCTTAGGAACTGAAACTTCAGAAACCAATTAGAGTTTTTAACATCCTTACTAGCCTCAATATCAGTTAAAAATGAATAAAGCCTTTATGAAGCCTGCCAAAACTCCATGATAAAGCAGCTTTACCATCTCAGTCCTTGGTCAAGTCACCATTCAGTTTTTATTGCAGATGGAAATGTATTTGTGTGACAGAAAATATGTTTCTATGATTTAAGGCTATTTCTAAGTGAATACACTGGGAAGGAGGGAAGGATATATATATGCAACATTGTAATTTAGGCCATTTTGACTATTCTGTTTTAACTGCTGGTTTATTTAGTTATGACTAAAAAGAAGGCATGTTAATGTGAGTCATCAAGTTGCTATTTTGATAGTCCCAAAGGTTGTCAAGGGATAAAATATGCATATTTATTTTTTCTGATTTTACATGAAAAAGATTGTGGTTTAGTGTGATAGAGATAGGGTCTTCTTGCAAATTCATGGACTCTCAAGACAATTAAAATGTTGTAGTAAGCAAAAGCCCATTGAAACCTGTCTTAGAAAAGATTATAGGCTAATGGGGGAAATTTACGGATAAATAATGATAGAAAGAGAGACACACAGTGCTACTGACACACTTTTAAAAGGCTGCTAGCCCAACAATGTTTTGTGAAAGAGATGAAAACAGAACCCTGAAAGGCAAACAGTTTAAGTTGACATACAAGGGCAGCAAAGTCAGTGTATTAAACACCGTAAAACATGGAGGAAACAAAAGGCATAGAAAAACTAGGGGATCCTCATGGCCCCTGGGAAAGTAAGTCTGTTTCCCAGGCATCCATCTCTTACTGTGTCTTTTAGCATTTTGGAACTTTTTGGTGAATATTCAACTTATAAACTATACATTTTTAAATTCAGAAAAATACTGTCATTTGTGTTAGTTTCAATGACATCTCTTTAACACTGCAAACTCTGTGTTTCATCATCATAATATTGAATTGTTCTAGCATAGTTTCAGGGAGTACAAAGCCTACACTTTTGGAGAAATTTAATTACATGGAAGAATTTGATAAAGTTTATTTGGTATTTTGTATCTAGCTCACAAGTAAATAACATCACAATGTAGCAGTGGGAAGGAAAATATATCCAAATCATTTGCATCATAATTTTTAAAAATCAAACATGAATCTTCATTGTTTAGATGAAGGTTCCTATCCTAACCTCTATCTCCACCTGACATTACCCACCCTTCTGTCTGTACACAGTGCTATTAATAAGTAACATCTCCATATACAAAGAATATTTCTAGAGAGAATCTTTCAAGTACAGGAAGATGTCTACACCCTGAGACCAGAGTGTGTCTGAGGTATGTGTGTGGGGGTGGTAATATGTGTTTGTGGTGTGTGTGTGTGGCGTGTCATATGTGTGGGTATGTGGGATGTGTGTTGTGTGTGGGGTGTGTGTGTGTGACGTGTGTATGTAGTGTATGTGTCACATGTGTGTGGTGTGTGAGTGTGGCGTGTGTGTGGGTGTGTGTGGTGTGAGTGTGGTGTGCGTGTGTGAGGTGTGTGGTGTGAGTGTGGTGTGTGTGGGTATGTGTGGTGTGTGTGTAGAATGTATGTGGGAATGTGTGTGTGGGGGGGTACGTGTGGTGTATGGGGGTGTGTGTGGGTATGTGTGGTGTGAGTGTGGTCCATGGGTGTGTGAGTGTGTGAAGCATGTGTATACATGCTTATGCTACATCACCTATGGATAGGGCCTTCAACTGAATGTTTTCCAAGCACCTTGTGATTCTGGGTTTCAGTGATAATGACCATTGCTATAGATTTGGGGATCATAAACCAAAGGATATAATTAAATTTAATGACTTTAAAGATCCAACCAAATTGCAGTCTGTTCACAAACAGGCTGTTAAAAAGGTTTTATATTTCTTTTATTCTTCAGGCTCCTCTAATTGCCATAAATCAGTCTGCCTTTTACATACACTTGACCTCCATTTTTAAGCACTGCTATCTATATTAACAGCAACTAAACATAATGAGAATTATTTTGTTAAAGTATAGTATCATTTTAGATATTTTGGTATGTCTATCATATAAATCATGCAAACAAATACTACCATAATTTAAAGACAAATGTATTTAGTGTTTTGAAAAATCAAGAACTTTGTGTCAAAAGATTATTTCCTAAAAAAGTACTGGATTTACAGACAATATAAATCACTACATATATTGTTACTTTGCAGCTTCATACAGACCTGCTGTTGGACATTTATTTTCTCCTTTGAATTTGAATCACAAAATATTTAAAGTGTTAGGGGTTAAAAATATCCATGGCTAAATTTTAAGAAATGAGTCTAAATTGCCAAACCTATACCTAAAATATATGCTATGTTTCAGAATTAAATGTCTCTTGAATGATTATTTGCAAACTATTATTCAATGCACAAAACACATGGCTCTAGAGAAGTTCTTCAGAATATACACATAGTTAATAAGGCACAAAGAATAATTTTACATATGAAGCAGGAAAGTACAGGTAAGCATTACTTTTAACCAAAAAACAAACCTTAAGAAAATAGTTGTTATTGTTATTGCAGTTGCCAGACACTCCTTGTAATTCAGCCACAGTGTTCTAGAATGGTTGACAAAAAATATTAAAGCAGGCTTACCCCACACCGCAAAGAGAGCAGCCTAATGATAAAGGATAGAAAAACACTGAGGTCCCAGTGCTTATTGTAATACACACTGTTAAGTGCTGCATGTTGGTTAAAAAAAAAAAAATGTCCCCACTCTTAGTTTCTCAGTATTATAGATACAGTATACAGTCTATTTACATTATTATAATCACATTATTAAAAGGCCAACCATAATAACTGCCAATACTTGTTCATACTCACAAGCTATTTCCAACTAGGAACCGCAAACAGAAAGAGTCAAATTAATGTTATCCCTCTAACACTTTTTATAACATAAATATATTCTTGTATACCTTTTAATACTTATGCAAACCAAAGCTTCCATTATATTTTTGCCTCTAATTATTACATGCTAACACAAGCAATAAACACCCATACCTATGTGGGCAGCTACTCTAAATTGTATTCAATACTTTAAAAGATTCTAAAAAATAATGTTGCTATAATATTGTTATAATGATATTAATTTCCAGTAATGAAAACAAATTATGAAAGAAAGATTCAATTATATTTTAGAAGGAGCTTCAATTTCTGGAGTGATGATTAACCTTGTTATGAACTACTGCCTAAGGAGACTCTGAAATGCTATCTATAAGCTAAGACTTCACAATGTAATAAATATTATATCTCAAAAGAATATTTAAGGAAGCCAAATAATTATAATTTTTAAAGTACAATAGTTTATTTTAATTTCAATGACCATACCTATTTTCTAATTCAAATATGGAATATAGTACCAGTTCATACTCTATTTCCAGTGTGAGCCTGCAGTACTTCAAACTGTATCAGGCTCTTTAATAACATATATAAAGATACTACACAAAATATATACCATAATTACCTCATCTCACTACTAAAAGGCTAAACACTGACAGTTGTGGAGTATGACAAGAGATTAAATGTTATTAAAAAGTTAAATTCTAGCTGAAAAATTTATCATACCCTCCAAGTGTCATGAAATAGTGCTGACTGTCTGAGGGATTTATTGAAATCCTCCCTGGCAACCTTTTAGATTGTTAAAAAAAAACCCGGGAGGTGGAGGTTGCAGTGAGCCAAGATTGTGCTACTGCATTCCAGCCAGGGCAACAGAACAGACTCCATCTAAAAAAAAAAAAAAAGAGAGAGAGAAAGAAAGAAAGCAAATGATCAATAATTCTATTAAATAGAAATTCAATAATGAATCACAGATATATTCAGATATACATTTAAAATTTTTCAATTGTTCAGATATTCATCTTCTCTTCTTCAACAGGATCCTCCTTTTTATTCTACAGCTTTTAGGCAAAGCCATTTTAGCTTTTTTTTTTTTTTTTTTTTTTTTTAAATCAGAATGTTTAACAGAAAGTAAACAAAAACAGGAATGCAAATTAAAATAAAATTGGCTGTTTGCTTATTTTAAACCCTTCTAATGATTTGGAGGAAGAAAAAACAGAAAAAGCAAAAATTTAAATAGTTAATCTTCCTCAATACAGTTATTAGAGGTCCACTGTAGGTTTATAATTTCAGGATCTATTTATCACATTGCGATGTTTTCCAGGTAGTCAATTCAAGTAAGCAATTCCTCTCTGCCAATGTGACAAGTTCCAAGTTACAATCAACTTTGGATGATCTGATCAAAAACAGAAGCTATCTATCCTTCAGCAGACATTGTTGATCTAAGAGCTGGCTCTGGAAATCAGTTGGATGAACTTGGTTGCTCTGTATCTAATTAAAGGTTTTCCCAGCCAGTACAGGGAATGTCAAAGGGGATATTGTCAAATAAAAATAACTCTAACTTTAAAACCACAAGATGAATCTATAAATCACAAAAATGAAAAACCAAGTGACTGATTATACACATCCAGGGCCTGTTTTAACACAGATATATTAATTAATAAATTGTTCTATTATACATATAATTAACTCAATTATTTAAGGAGCATTTATTTATTACATATCTAATATTGGTTCTTCTCATTTCTTTTATGCCACTTCAATATTTTATTCTTCATTCATAAAGGGAGACAGAGAGTAAATAGAAAATGGAAAAAAGCACTCAATAAATTTAATATTTTTTACCCTCAGAAAAAAATAATTTGAATCAAGTGATAATTTGAAGTTTTAACACTGGAGTGGAATTTTGCTATTTGTACAGCTTTCATTTCTCTTATGCACTGAAAATTAACAGTTGGATTTATCTGGGCACGTTTTGGTGAGGCAGTGTGTAACATAGAAGAAAGGAAGAAAACCCAAGTCACAGAGGAGGATGGAGATAGATACAAAGAGAAGTCTCCTTGACTTCTTTCCATAAAGTAAGTTACTTGAAGCAACACAGCAAGCACTTCGTTTTTACTTCTATAACTTGCAGAAAGAAAAAAAACAGGTTAACTAATTAAAAAAAAAAAACATTTGAGTACTCAATTATTCTTCCCTTTAAATTCTATAAAGATGACTCTATGGACTGTTGCCTAGAGTAAAATAATTATTCAAACACTTGATCTCCTTTTTATTAGAAATACAGAACAAAGAATCACAGAACCTAAACTCCATCACCCCAAACAGTAATTCTCTTAACATCATTTGTTGCCAAGTTATTCTGTGTCTGCCTGAATACAGACAGACCCAGCAGAAGTGTTCTGTACACTCTACTCAAAAACAGCAGAGTGTGTTGCAAAGAGTACAGTCTTTGGAGCCAGCAAGACCTTATTCCAATTCCAACTCTGCTAACTACTGGATGTAACAGTAGAAAAAACCTCAGTTGCTGCATTTGTTGGAAAAAAAGAAAATCTCTTCTGGCTGCATTAAAGATTAAATGAGATGATGTAGGAAAGACACCTTACAAAGTGCCTGCCACTAAATATGTACTTAATTTCCTTGCCCCTGAAAATATCTGCTCAGATGACAACTCTGATTACCTTACAAAAACAGGCAAACAAGAAAACCTATAAGCAATCTTCTATTTAGGATGTGATATATTACTAAGTATAAATGTCAAGCAAAAAATATTCTTTATCCATCTATTCAAATTATCAAGTTAAAGAAGACTTTGGGCCAGGAGTGGTAGCTCTCACCTGTAAACCCAGCACTTTGGGAGGCCGGGGCAGGAGGATTGCTTGAGGCCAGGAGTTTAAGACAGGCCTGGACAACATAGTGAGACCTCATCTCCACAAACAAACAAACAAACAAACAAAAAGGCTTTTTTTTTTTTTTTAATTAGCAATACGTGGTTCTGTGTGCCTATACCCCAGGTACTTAGGAGGCTGAAGCAAGGCAGGAGGTTGGCTTAAGCTAAGGAGTTTGAGGATACAGTGAGCTATGCTTGTGTCATTGCACTCCAGCCTAGGTGGCAGAGCAAGACCCTGTGTCTTTAAAAAAAAAAAAAAAAAAGCAAAATCTTATACCAACTTTTAGGGATAAATGTGATAATATTTCAGTGCCTCAAAATAACTGCAGTAAATGTGTGGTCTGTGATCTAAATGTTTCACCTGGAGTGCCTTAAAAATTTGACTATCTTCTTTGCCCTGTCCTTATTAAACCTGATGTCTTATTTCATATTCATGGAACATTAGAAGCTGGAAGGAATTTTATGACCTAACCCAATCCCTGTGCTTTCAGGCCAAAGAAACCAAGGCACACAGATTAGAAAGCCTGGCCACATCCCCTTCCACCACTTGATGTCACTGTACTCCCTGAACCTAAGACCAAAAATCCTTCTAGCACAGTGAGGAGGCAAAAATCAAACCTGCAGAGAATGATTCTACAATCTCAGAATAAGCTTGCAGCCAAAGTAAATCAGTGTCTCTGATAAAATACAATATACTAATGTAGCGAATTGAAAACGAGGTAAGATACAAGTTTGAAACATTTGAGGAAATCCCTTCTTTAATTTGAAAATCCAAGACAACATTATTCATACAAAGTATCTCAGTGTGATGAAAATATACTCACCATTTCAAATGGACTCATCCAGTAAGAAAATCAATCAAGTTCTAAGAGTCTAATTCATTCATTTAAGGGCTTTCTACTGTGTTATCCGATGATCAAAAGTTAACGGATATACCACCTCTAATTTTCTGCTATAATAAGTGAGGAATATAACCTCATCATATTACATACTCATGAGATCGTAATATACATTAGGGTTAAAACATCTCAGATTAAAAATACATGAAAAATATTTGAAAGTCTGTTTATTAATCTCTATGACCTGGCTAGAGAGCAGTATGCTGAAAAATTATATATTCAGATAAGAAGGGGTTGAATATATGAATTTCCACTGTGGTTATATCAGTTGGAGTAAAGAATATTTGTTATATCTAAATATGTACAAGTTTATGGAGTATAAAATACTACAATTAAATTGTTGATGGATCTTTTGACACGCCAATATGAAACATGTGCATGTTTACTGTGTTTATAATAAAGCATGTTGTCCCATTATATCAATGTGCATTTGGCAATGACATTAGAAATAGAACAGCATCTGTATTATATTACAGCACACAAGGGTTCTGGAGAGCTGTTTTCACTTGGGGGTTAGCTTCTATTCATTTATTTGATCTTCTACAGAAAGCAGGATGTAAAATTATTCCAATATGTATCTACTCAATGGAACATGTGCTAGTGGAAAGCTCTGTTCTGCATTGTGTTAGCACAAATCATAGTGAGCAGATCCAAAGAACTTTCTCTTCCTAAGGGGAAAAGACACTGGAAACACTCAGCAATCTATAGTACTTTTCTGTGTATATTTCTATGTGTATGGGTATGTTTACTGATTTTTTTGGAAAAGCATTACATACTATCACAGAACATTTGGAAAAGATTGAAAAAATAAAAAGCAGAGAGAGAGGAAAATCACCCGATTCCAGCAATAAGGACAGACATTATTCACATTTTTGTGTTTTTATCCTTTTCTGTTTCTATGACTTCCTTTCTAATAGTGAAAAGATAAGACTTATTTGTATCCACAAACTTCATACTATAAACTAGATACCATGACTTGATTCTTAAGTGAATATCAGATGCAAGTAGTATTTCTTTCCTACGGTAGAATTTTAGTTCAATGTAGACATACCTTCCTCGAGAAACTGCATCAAACCTGTCATACTGTTATACAGCAGAGCATTTCATGAATTAGAAAATGTGGAAAAAAGAATCTGCAAGCACTACTGACCTCGTCATCGTCGGCATCATACTGAGCATAGTGCTGTTCCAGCAGCTCTCTCTGGCGCCTCTCCTGTTCCAGTGTCTGGCTTATCAACTGGGCAACCTCACTCACTTGTCCTGGTTTTTCCCGCCCAATTACAAATCTGTGGAAAGGTTAACAAAGACTAATATTCAAAACTTTCCAGCAAAAAGGAATGTTAAGTAAAATAACCAGGTTTGATCTCAGCAGGGTCCGTCAAGCCTGAAGAAAGTAACATCACCTACATACTTCAAAATAGTTTTCTTGGGTGAGGGGAAAGGTTAGCTGAGTAATTGAAGTGATTTTCAGGGATACAGCTCATAAAGGAAGAGAAGGGGGAAAAAAGTAAAGGACCATAAAAATTACCATTTTAAGAGAAGACTTAACATATGTAACCCATTTTGCAGTACTTTATACATTTTTGATGCCATGCAAAATGGAAGCAAGCTCATAATTTCCTGTACCATTGAACTCAAGAGTCATTTGCATAACGCTAACAAAAATTGCTTCAAAAACATTTGATGGCCGGGAGCAGTGGCTCATGCCTGTAATCCCAACACCCTGGGATGCCAAGGTGGGTGGATCACCTGAGGTCAGTAGTTCAATACCAGCCTGGCCAAGATGGCGAAACCCGGTCTCTACTAAAAATACAAAAATTAGCTAGGCATGGTGGCGCATGACTGTAGTCGCAGCTACTCCAGTGGCTGAGGCACAAGAATCGCTTGAACCTGAGAGGCGGAGATTGCAGTTAGCCCAGATCATGCCACTGCACTCCAGCCTGGGTGACAGAGTGAGACTCCGTCTCAAAACAAAAACAACAAAACATTTTGAGGTATAGCATAACTTAGGTGGCTAAATATATAACTTTGAAAATAAGAGAAAGGGAACACAGGTAGTGGTTTTTGTTTTAAAAATGAAAAGCTATAATAAGAGATGGTGAATTAATTCACTTCTTTTTGGGAAAGACAGTATGAGAAAAGGTGTGGTTCAATAAATAAAGGGAGAAAAGAAAATATTTGTTGATACTAATTCCTGTTTAAAAAAAAAAAAAAAAGCCTGAAGAAAAAACCGAGGAAGACATTTCCTTTTTGCAAGCTACAGTCATGGTATATTCTTGTCAATGTAATGTGTTGTGCTCACCAATTTAATATTCATTTTTAAACATCTTTTCATACTACTATATGCTTCTGTTTTTCTAAAAATATAAATAATGTGTCTCTAGGACTCAGTTTCTAAGTATTACTTATTATTTTAATGTGAATCTTTGTTTAAATCTTGTTTCTACATTTAATTGATGCTTTCCTCTGATTAAAGTATGTTGCCGTCTTCAATCAATTTTAAATGAAATATACAACTTTTCTGCACAATACACTAAAGATCAAAATTTTTCACACTTAGATGTCAGTAATTAATTACCTTTTAAGAAATACTTTTATATAGTTTCAAGCAAGACTTCCTTTAAAATTATGTTTAAGTGTTCACTTATCTTTTATTTTCCTTTGGAAATAAGTGTTAATAGAATTTATAAATACTATCACTTCTCATCTTTATTCAGGTACAATTTATACACAATAAAATACATGAATTTTAAATGTATAGTTCAATAACTGTGATACATATGTAAACATGTAATTACACATCAATTAAGATACAGAACATTTCCATCAACCTAAAATATTTCCTTATATTCCTTTCCAGTAAGTTATCTTCATCCTGGTTCATATTCATCTTTTAAAATTTTATTTATATAGAAATAAAATTTTAGAGTGTCTAGCTTGTTTGGCTCACCACAATGTTTTGGAGGTTTATCCATGTTGCTGTAAGTATCAGTTATTTGCTCCTTTTTATCACTAAATAGTATTTTATTGCATTGAATATACTACATTTGGCTTATCTATTTTTTTACTGATAGGTATTTGGGTTGACATTATTTAAAAAGTTACTTTTAGAGAGACCTCAGAAAGAACACCACACAACTACAACCATGTGATCTTTGACAAACCTGACAAAAACAAGCAATGGGAAAGGATTCCTTATTTAATAAATGGTGTTGGGAAAACTGGCTAGCCATATGCAGAAAGCTGACTGGATCCCTTCCTTATACCTTATACAAAAATTGACTCTAGATGGATTAAAGATTTAAACATGAGGCCTAACACCATAAAAACTCTAGAAGAAAACCTAGGCAATACAATCCAGGACATAGGCATTGGCAAGGACTTCATGACTAAAACACCAAAAGCAATGGCCAAGAAAAGCCAAAAGAGACAAATGGGTTCTAATTAAACTTAAGAGCTCTGCACAGTAAAAGAAACTATCAACAGAGTGAACTGGCAACCAACAGCATGGGAAAAAATTTTTGCAATCTACCCATCTGAAAAAGAGCTAATACCCAGAATCTACAGAGAACTTAAACAAATTTACAAGGAAAAAAACAAACAACCTCATCAAAAAGTAGGTGAAGGATATAAACAGACACTTTTCAAAAGAAGACATTTATGCAGCCAACAAACATATGAAAAAAAGGTCATCATCACTGGTCATTAGAGAAATGCAAATCAAAAGCACATGGAGATACGACCTCATGCCAGTTAAAATGGTGATCATTAAATCAGGAGACAACAGATGCTGGATGTGGAAAAATAGGAATGCTTTTACATTGTTGGTGGGAGTGTACATTAATTCAACCATTGTAGAAGACAGTGTAGCCATTCCTCAAGGATTTAGAACCGGAAATCCCATTACTGGGTATATACCCAAAGGATTATAAATCATTCTATTAAAAAGACACATGCAAATGTATGTTTATTGTGGCACTGTTAACAATAGCAAAGACTTGGAACCAATCCAAATGCCCATCAATGACAGACTGGATAAGAAAATGTGGCACATATACACCATGGAATATTATGCAGCCATAAAAAAGGATGAGTTCATGTCCTTTGAAGGGACATGGATAAAAATGGAAACCGTCATCCTCAGCAAACTGACACAAGAACAGAAAACCAAACACTGCATGTTCTCACTCGTAAGTAGGTGCTGAACAATGAGAACACACGGACACAAGGAGGGTAACATCACACACCGGGGCCTGGGGGGTGGGGGGACTAGGGGAGTAATATCAGGGAGTGGGGGGATTGGGAAAGGATAGTATTAGGAGAAATACCTAATGTAGATGACTGGGCGATGGATGCAGCAAACCACCACCATGGCACATGTATACCTATGCAACAAACCTGCATGATCTGCACATGTACCTCAGAACCTAAAGTATAATAAATAAATTAAAAATAAATAAATAAAATAGATTTTTAAAAATTAAAATAAAAGTAAAGTTACTTTTAAACATTTGTGAACAAGTCTTTGTGTGAACATAAGTTTTCATTTCCTTTAGACAAATAATGAAATTGATGAGTCATAGGTAAATGTATATTTAACTTATAAAGAAATTGTCAAACTGTTTTTCAAAGTAATAGTATCATTTCATATTCCCATTAGCACTACATAAAAGTTGTAGTTGCTTTGCACCCTCATTAACACTTAGTACTGTCTTTTAAACTTTTGACCATTCTAGCAGGTATCTCATGGTACTTCATAATGGTTTTAATTTCCTCTGCCCTGATGACTAACAATATTAAGTATATATGCACTTATTGACTATTCACATATCATCTCCAGTGAAATATCTTTCCAAATCTTTTACCCATTATTGAAAATTGGATTGTCTATTATTGAGTTATAATGGTTCTTTACAGGCAAAGTACATATACACACATGAGTGTGTGTATTTTTGTTTTTTTAAACAGAGTCTTCCTCTGTCATGCAGGCTGGAGCACAGTGGCATGATCACAGTTCACTGTATCCTGGAACTCTTGGCTCAAGCAATCCTCCTGCCTCAGCCTTCTGAGTTGCTGAGATAACAGGCATGTGCCCTGGCAAAGATCATTTCATAATTTTTTGTAGGGATGGCATCTCATTGTTTTGCCCACGCTGTTCTTGAATTCTTGGCCTCAAGTCTTCCACTCACTTTGGCCCCCCAAAGTGTTGGGATTACAGGCGTGAGCCCCTGCACCTGGCCCTTTATATATTCTTGATACATAACCTTGTCCCTGTACGTTCAATACACATATACAAACACACACACACATACACACACAATATACATGTGTATGTTTATGCATTTAATTTATTTATTAACTTGTCCTAGTCTGTGGCTTACTCTTTCATCTTTAAATTGTGTCTTTTAAGGAAGTCTAATTTATCACTTTGTTATAAAAATTCATGCTGGACATGGTGGCTCCTGCCTGTAATGCCAGCATTTTGGGAGACCAAAATGGGAGGACTGCTTGAGCCCAGGAGTTCAAGACCAGTCTAAGCAACACAGTGAGACCCATCTCTTAAATAAAACAAAATAACCAGGTGTGGTTGCATGTACCTGTTGTTTTAGCTACTTGGGAGGCTGAAGTGGGAGGACTGTTTGACCCCAGGAGGTCAAGGCTGCAGTAAGCCATGATTGAACCTATGCTCTCCAGCCTGGGAGACAGAGCAAGACCCTGTCTCAAGAAAAAAAAAAAAAAAATTAATGCCTTTTGCTTCCTATCTAAAAAGCTTCTGCCTGATTTAAGATTGCTAAGATTTTCTCCAATTTTTCTTCTTAATGTGTTAATGTTTTGCTTTTATATTAGGTCTATGATATCTTGTAAATTAATTTTCCATGTATGATGTGTGGTGAGGGTGGAGTTTCCATTCTTTTTTCTAAATGGATCATGAATTGTTTTAACGCCATATGCCAATACCAAACTTCTCTGATTACTATATGGTAAGCCTTCAAAGTAGGTGGTGTGAGTTCTCTAACTCTGTATCAATTGTTTTTCCTCTGCAATTATTTCTAACAGAAAGCCCACTGGGTTTAGTTTAGAATTGCTTTGAATCTATAATTTGTGGAGAACTGACATCTTAATAAAATTGACTCGTCTGATCACTGAACATGTATCTCTGTATTCATTCAATAATATACTACAGTTTTCAGTACACGGGTCTTAAAAATCGTTTGTTAAATTTACTTCTAGGTACTTCACGGTTTTTTTTTTGTTTTTTTTTTTTTTTAATTGTAAGTGATACTGG